GGGAGGGGGGGGGCAGTGATGGGAGGTGTTAAAGGAAAGAACTGCAGTGGCTCTGTCTTTCTCTCCCTGCTGCTCTCCACTCCCCTACTGCCATGCCATCACTAGCGGCAAACTCTGCTAGTTTCAACCTCAGAATATCAGAATCTGACTGCTGCTAACATCTGGCTCCAAGCTACCTCAGCTCTCACCTGGATTATCTCCCACTGGCCTCCTTACTTGCACCTCCAACTCCCTCTAATCTTTAGATTAGATTAGATTATGTCCCTCCAGTGCCCTCTACTTTATTTTTTATCCTCATTGGAGGGTATGTTTTTATTGATTTTAGAGAGAAGTATTGATGTGAGAGAGAAACCTCAAGCAGTTGCCTCCTGTACACTCCCTGACTGGGGATGGAACCCACAACCTTTCCGTGTACAGGACAACACTACAACCAACTGAGCCGCCCGCAGGGCCAGTCCCCTTCTATTCATACAGTGGCCCCAGAAGCCCTACATGACCTGGCCTGGTGCCAACTGAGACTTCATCTCCGACACCCTTCCCTCCCTCACACTAGAGTCCGGCCACAGAGGACACTCCTTTGCTCCTTAAACAAGCACAGCAAGGGCTCAGCAGTCTTGCCTCGGGCTCCCCCTCCCCCCACCCCTTCCTTCATCTCCCTCACACCTCGTCAGGAAGCCTTCCCCTGCCCCGCTCTCCCCAGCTCCCACACCCGCTCTCTTTTTCTCCAGGGCACTTTTCACCATTGAACCCATTACTTGTTTGCTTGACTAATCAAGTTGATTATCTCTCCTCCCCTCCAGAGGAAGGTAAGCTCCACAGAGCAGGACATGGTTGTGTTCACTGCTGTTCTACTGTGGAGGGGCTGGCAAGTAGCAGGTACTTGGTGCAAGGCCCGTTGATGCTAAAAATAACTATGCAGCAATGTTAGCAGAGTGATGCGGCTCCAGATCCAATGGGTCCCCCTGATGACATCTTGTTTTCACAAACACCTCTAATAAGTGCAGTGACTTATCTTTACAGTGTTGGTGCTGCCCCGCAGTCACATTCCTTGTGAATCAATGCTAAATGGGGAGCACTTGAGATGAGAACAGGACCAGGCAGCAGAGCCGAGGGCACGGTCACAGCAGCAAGCAGGTACCAGGTGGGGAGTTAGCTGGGCTCAGGCTTGGGGTTGGGGTTGGGTCAGTAAACTAAACAACATAAATTGAAAATACAGAAAATGGGTCTTTGTCAGAAATACCTGAATATACCATCTACTTTTTATTTCAGTTTTGATACAGAATTGACTCTTCTTTCTATTCACAAAATTTCAGCTAGGGGTTACTAAAAACAAGACAACAGGCCCCAAATGAAGTGCTTTATGCTAAGGCACCAAACCAAGACGCCTAATTACAGTGTGGCTTTCCCAGAAATAAGGACCTTAAACCAGTCCATCAGGAAGCACCCGGTGAGCACTATTAGGGAATCTGCCCGAGAGACCCTGACATCCCCAGAGGAGGTGGCCCTACAGTGACCCACCCCCTCTCCCTTGTGTAACTTCCTTGTTCCTGCTCCTTCTGCTTATAATGGTCTCATTCTGCACAGATCCTTGGAGCTCCTTTTTATCTGCTAGCCTGGATGTTAGCCAATTCAAATCAATTTTCTGCTCAAATAAACTCTAAAACGTTTTTAATATGCCTCAGTTTATCTTTTAACAAAAGAACAAAAACACACTAAACATCTAGTCCAAACACATCATTTTACAAGTGTGCAAACTAAGGTCACAGAGGCCAAGAGACCTGCCTACAGTGAAGCAGCAAGCCAGAGAGCAAGGGGCTTTACAATCTGCACTCTCCTGGTTTCCAGGCCATAACCTCTCTCTCCCACTGCCTGCGCGGCCTTGTCCTTCTCAACATCTTTACGAAAAGAAAGCAAAGGGGAAAGGACTTTAGTTGCTCCATGAAGAGTGGTATGAGTAGTCTATTTTCTAGACTAACCTTGTAAGCAAGAGACTGTTTAAAAACACAGCAAAAACTCTAAAAAAAACTCAATTTTTATGTAAATGAATTTACATAAAAATAAAAATTAGTGAGCTTCCTAGCTTAATCCTAATTTTAGGCAAACCATCCAACCAACTATAAATATGTTGACAAAGGGGTTTTGTTGGGATATTGGCCTCAAAGCCGGGACAACAGCAACAGCATTGTTGCAAAGCTTTTAAGCCATTCTTATTGAGTGGTTTCTGGAAAGTTTTTAAAGCAACAAAACTCTTCCAAAAAGCCTGTTAAAAGTTGGCATCAATAACCAATCCCAGAAAATGGCTTCAGCATCAATCAAAACATTAAGATCAAAGTGAAGAAGCACAAGTATTCTCAAGAGAACATGGTATTTAGTGGGCAAAGCTGGTACTCAGTATCAGAGATGTTAATATTTTACCAGGAAGTTCCTTATTTGAAGAATATTTGTGAAAATTTTAGGAGAACTTTCGAATGACACATTCTGATAAGGAATTCAGAGTGAAAGTACAGTAAGACTTATC